ACACACACACACACACACACAAACAAAGGGGGGGAAAAAAAAACTTTGAACACAGCAGCAGTTACAGCACAGAAAAGCGAACACTGACATTGTGACCAATAGTTTCATGCACGATACCACCAGTAGATCCAGTACACAAGCGGTTAATATGAATCCCCACTTTTAGGTGTTGTACAGTTCTTGTTACTTTCAAGATTTCACTTTTTAACATTCACTATATGACTTGGAGAACTAGAAGGAGCACAGAGCAGAGTTAGGTTGGCGTAGACCCATACTCTTAGGATAGTCGAGACCTGGTTAGTACATTTAAGGTTGATCTCCTCTCGGCGGTGTAGTTGTTCCTCTTGAATGCATGCAATCCATTATCTGCCTTGTAGGGCTTAGGGGGTAGAGCATAGATAGGGATAGCTAGCATGAGATAAGAGAGAAGAAAATAGGGTAGATAAAAATACGACTGTCCCCCATATGAGGAGAAGACAGCTGTGTTTAAATTTTAAAAATAAAAAAAAATGAAAGGAGAGCAACATTCTATATTCCTCTGTCTGGGAATTCCGAAAAGAAGGCTGCATTTGCAGAGGGGTCCAGAGTCTCCAGACAATGGCTAAAATATACTGACAAAGACGACGAGGATGTATGGAAGGGGGAGGCCATGTCGTGCTGGGTGACACACTGTGGAAGATGGGGATTAAGAAAAGGAAGAATGATACACAGACAAACTTGGCGTTCGTGTTCGGTGCAGCATGCCACCATAGGCAATAGAATAATCAAGAGAGCCAAGAAGGGCCCATAGTAAAAGATACGGTCAGATGCGTTCCTCTTACTTCCCCCCCCCACGCGACCCCACCAGAATCAATAGTAGGACCAGGAGCAGCCAATCAGGACCACCATCCATGTCGGACAGGAAAAGAGAAGTTGACGGCCGGACAACAGCAAGCCAAAACTACTTACCTCACAAGTGCTGGGATGAGAACGCAGCTGAGTCAACGCTTCATCGACCGAAATTTTTAATGTATTTACACGGAGATGTCGCAGTGTAGGAGCTGGCAATCCCACAGAAGAGCCAAATCAAGACGGCAGGAAATATACATCCACAAGTGAGGGCTAAAAATCATGGTCCTTAACAACCCCCTTGCTCATGCGCATCCTCCAAGGTTTGCATGTCCTCATCCATGGGCACTGAAGGCTGAGGACCGCAGCGCTAAAACTGTGCAAGACTGCCTACATGAGACTGGTTAGTGTTTGACAAGGTTAGCCCTATAGAATAGTCCAATCATAGCCAGTGAGGTCCTATCCTCAAAGTCGCAGAAGGAGATCATCATTACCTACCCTTTAGTCTATTATTACATATGCCGCAACAGCCTGCTACAAGTGAGAGTTAAGCCAGATTGCTGGTAGATTGATTTGGGGGGGAGGGGGAGAGGGAGAGTGGCAGTGCATGGATTGCCCAAACTTGCTTCTGCTTTGGTGTACATAGCACACACAGAGTATGTACATAGTACATACATAGTGTTTCTGCTTTGGTGTACATTGTACGCACATAGCACGTACATAGTACGTACATAGTACGAACTGTACCTCATCTTGATAATCCCAACAATAAGTAGCTTTGTTTAGGGATGGGGGGCGAGGGAGACGGGCAGTGTGGATTGTCCAAAGTTGATTCTGCTATGGTGTACTATGTACGTACATAGTATGTATACGTACTGTATCTCATAGTACGCACATAGTGCGGCAGTGTGTGGGTTGTCCAAAGTTGATTCTGCTATGGTGTACATAGTACGTACATAGTACACACTATGTACGTACATAGTATGTATACGTACTGTATCTCATAGTACGCACATAGTATGCATACGTACTGTATCTCATAGTACGCACATAGTACGCATACGTACTGTATCTCATCTTGATAATCCCAACGATAAGTACCGAGCGGTGTTGCTTGATGCACTTTCTTTGACCTTTAATGGCCTTGAAATCTGTGTTATTTTTTTTTACTATGCACCATTTACCACAGTAGTAAAGCGTGGAACATGTTGTGAAATTGAGATCCCTAAGATGGGTGCTGAAAAGGTTGGAGTGGACATAATTTGAGAAAAAGTTGCAATAGCCTCTAGAATGGTTCCGGCTTGTAAATTGTACCGGTTAACAGGGTGTTTGACAGTCAAAAGGATGGGTGTAGAAGGGCCGCAGGTGCAGCAGGGGAGTTCAAAAGAAGGTCCAGGCAGAACGACTGAAGAACTCAAACGTGAGTCTATAGAGGAAAAGGGCTCCGCAAACTGGCTGCAGGRAGAAGCCCGGCGAGGCGGGGGSGGGGGGGGGGGGGGCTACTGGCTTGCATGAATCTAGCCATAGTTTCAGTCGGATACGTCCCAGAAATTACAGGTGTGGATATGCCCTTAGAACTTGAAAGGGTTTTTTAACTTTTTTCTTCTGGGAAACTGTGACAATGTATTACAATGAAAAGGTTTGAGGCTGGGATCTTCACAAATCGACACGGAAGAATACTGGGCCCATTACCCAGCTTCGGCCAAGTTGGAAACTGGGTCCGGCGTCTCTTTCTGAAAAGCAAAAAGCTTCCCAAAATATCCTTGAAGCTCCGCCATTCTTAAAGCTTTAGATTGAACTCAAAAGGGGGGTTAACAGGGAGTTTGACAATCAACAGGGCAGGGGGGTGTGGCAGGGCCACAGGTGCAGCAGAAAGGGGTTAACAGAAGGAGCAGGCAATGATTCAAGAACTCCAATATGATACGAGTCTAGGGAAGAGGGCTCCACAAACAGCCAGCAGGAGAAAAGGAGGGGGTGTGAGGAAAAGAGGGGGCGGAATGTGTTGTGCGTTGGGTAGAGCATACTCACACTAGGACTTGCTTGAATGACTCTATCGAATAGTTTCAGTCGGATACGTCCCAGGAATGACAGGTGTGAATATGCGCCTTTGAGACTTCAAAAGGGGTTATAGATGTCCGCAGACAATTCGTGAACAGCGGCCATCATTCGCGGCACGAACCGGCACAGACAGACTCTCAAACCACACATGCTGAGTGTTGGGTTGATGGGAAGGTGGTGGTGGATAAGGGGATCATCATCTGCTCTTGGGGGAAGACCACGTTTCAATTACAGCAAGACCCACCCCCCGCACGGGCACTTGGGTAAAATCTGGTTTCGATAGTCTGCTGGTCTGACCTGTTTGCTTAGCTGTCTCTGGCAGAAGATCTCGGACATCCGCCACCTGTCGCTTCACCATTAACCGAGCAAGGGTCGCCTTGAGCGTGCTTTTGCATGCAAAGATAACCCTCTCAGCATCGCCATGTGGAGAAAGACCCTGCACGTACAAGGCAAAGACCATGTTAATAACGTCCCTCTCTATGTGCCTGGCCTCCACATTCTCATTGCCACACTATCAGCTCAACCACCAGGAAGCAAAAGCTCCACCTGTGAGATCTGCAGAGTGCTGAACCGCAGTCTTCAGACCCTTCTGCTGTCACCCGAATAGAACATGGAAGGACTATCAGGGATTCATGCCAACATCCCTGGTCAGATACGCCGAATGTGCAGTGTATTTTACAAAAAAAAAAAACAAATTCCGTCTCTCATTCCATCCACGAATCGTCATAAACCATCCATAAAACAGTAAAAAAATGGAAGGCTGGCCACGACTCTGTGGTTCAGCGCCAATGTGCAGTGTGTGTGTGTGTGTGTCTGTGTGTCTCTGTCTGTGTGTGTGTGTGTGTGTGTGTGTCTGTGTGTCTCTGTCTGTGTGTGTGTGTGTGTGTGTGTGTGTGTGTGTGTGTGTGTGTGTGTGTGTGTGTGTGTATGGAAAGAACAGCTACTTTTGGCTGTTGACCCTACCCTACCTTTCTTGCACCTTTCTTTCGGCTCACTCCCTCCCTTCCTCCTTTTGTCCTGCCCGTTCATTGGTGATTGGTATTCTAGGGTCTCGTTTCACTTTTCTGGCTTTCCCCCCCTGGTTTCTTTTCTTGTGATGATTGGCTCATCGGCTTGTTTTGGATTTTCTTCTTTTTTTTTTCTTTGACTATACTATTACTGGGGACCAAAGCCACTGAAATTTTGGGGCCCATTCACCGCTCCTCTTGGCACCATCACCTGCCATAGTGTTAGAATTATTTGACTCTCTCCGTCTGATTACATCTAGATACGAACTTGCATCTGTATTTCAATAGCTCATGCTACTGCGGCTATTGGAGGGAAGCTGTTTTTTTCTGAAGATTCTAAAGAATCTAAACTCACAATGATCCTCACTCTAGGGAAAACGATGCGCAGGGTTTTGGCCTGCAGTCTGCAGTATGAATGTGGTCAACCAAGGCTGGAGAGAGAGAGACAGAGAGAGAGAAAAAGAGAGAGAGAGAGAGAGAAAGAGAGTGAGAGAGAGACAGAGAAAGAGAGAGAGAGAGAGACAGAGAGAGAGAGTGAGAGAGAGAAGAGAGAGAAAAGAGAGAGAGAAAGAGAGAGAGAGAGAAAGAGAGAGAGAGAGAGAGAGAGAGAGAGAGAGAGAGAAAAGAGAGAGAGAGAGAGGGAGAGGACTCATACATCAATCATACAAGACCGCCGCAGAAAGACCAGATGGATGGATGGACCCCAAGGCAACATATGGCAAGTGGTGGGAGAGGAGGGGAGGGCAGACAGGCAGACTTTTTCTTTCTTTCTTTCTTTTCTTAAAAAAAAAAAAAAAAAAAAAGGTTGACAGATTGACAGACAAGCAATGGTGCCACTATGCTATCAAGAAGTCAAAGAAGATCGGCAGTATGTACTCGCTGGGCTCTCTCTGCACCACACCTCTCTCCATTCCAACATGAACACAAAAGGCAGAAAATGGACTCGTAAATTTCCTATATCACACAGGAAGGGATGCCTATCTGAGAATGCACACACCTCACCAAATAATAGGTCGTACAACAAAACATACGCCAGCTCGGGCTTTACCTGCCATCACCAACCCATAACACACACACATACACACACACACACACACACACACACACACACACACACACACACACACACACACACACACACACACGCGCACACGCACATACGCACACAGAGATACAAAGCACAATTCATGCATGGAGAGGGAGTTAATTGATACAACACCAATGCGCACGCGGTTCATGACATGGGGTTTTCTGTGACCAAAGAAACGTCACATCACATGGACCATCATAGTCAGAAGAAGAAGAAGTAAAATTTTTCGCTTTTCCTGCGGTTGCTCTTGGGATAAGGAAGCCGCACATCGCTCTTCAATCAGAGAGATTTTGATACAACCCCGCACCCGACATCCATGGTTTGCCTTTCCTCCTGCTGGCAAGGAGAGAGAAGCAAAGTTTTCAGGTGACCACAATCTCTACTCGCCTACTACCATTAAAAAACAGTACAAGTTCTGTCATTTATCTTGCTGCAATTCCTCATTCTAAGACCTTATTCCACGTCGCTCCATGACAGAAAGAGGTAAAGTTCTGTCATCCATCCATCCATCCATCTACTGAACCGTACGCAGAAAGGTAGAAACTGACAAACAACAGAGCGACTGGGACAGACT